GCAGCGATATAACAGTACAGCTGAAATTAGAAAATCGTGCAAAAGTTATAATTTTTTATATTTATGGCTTACGGCTTATGAAAACCCCAAATTCTAAATCTTAGAAAATTAGAATATTACATGAAATCAATTTAAAAAAGGATTTTAAATACCGAAATGTCGGCCCTCAGAAAAGTATAATCATGCATATGTATAGTTATATATACTGAATATCATCTTAAATTGCATTACTGAAATGAACTGTTGCACGATATTCAAATTTTTCGAGTTTCGCCTGTATGTTTTAATCATTGAATTGTGAACACTACCATCTTCAGCTTACTGATTGGCCAACATGTTTTTTTCTCTCTAAAATTTCCCCACACCTCAAATTTCAAATATCCACCACATAAAAAAATGTAAATAAGAAATTCACATTTGGAGATATAAAGAAAGGGGGGAGGGGAATCACAATTGACAGATATATGTCAAAAAAATGCAAGATGTATTGTCAAATTTAAAAGACAAAATCACAGCTGAGAGATATAAAAGGCCTGGGCATGATTCTGAACTCGGTTTTTAGGTTCTGGACATAATTGATGTGAAGTTAATTAATACTAGAATTGGAAAAAGGGAGATAAAGCTGTGTAAAAGAAATTGTAATGAAAGAATAACGCAATTTATATCCTGTCATTCTGAGAAGAACAATAATGAGAAAGATGCTAATCACTATTCAGTATATATTTTTCACAGGTGTCACACTTGGTCATTTCCATTAATTGCTAATTTTGCTTGACAATGTGATGCTGCTGTTGAACGGACGACGACAATAGCTAAAGCCTTGAATGCCAAAAACATGTGTACAGGTGCAGAGTATCCACAAATAAGCAAATGGTGGCTCTCATTATTATTCAAAATTTGTCACGAACTGCTCCGAGATAAGAAGGTTGAGGATCAAAATGCAGTATTTATTGAATTAGGGTAATCCAAAAACGTAATCCAAAGTACAGGCAAGGTCAATCACAGTCAGGCAATCCATACAAACAAACACAAAAAGTCAAAAGAGTAATCCACGGAACAGGCAAGAAATCCAAAACCAAGAGACATGAAACCAGGGACAATGCTCAGAACTGCAGTGTAACACTGAACAAGACTTTGCAGATAATGAGTAAGAAAACTAGGCTAAACAAGATAATGAGACACAGGTGAATGTGATAATGGATGAAGAGTCTGGGAAGTGAGTTATGGGAGATGTAGTTTGTGGGTGAATGACAATAGTCTGATGTGGAGTGCCCTCTGGTGGCTCTCAAGGGCACTCCAGCTGGTGACACATCTATAAGCCCACGCATTTGCTTATGTTATATGAAAGAAAAAAAGGAGATGCCTGCAGCCTTGTCAAACCAATGTACCAGCTTATGACCCACGTACGATTTCATATTGCTTTTACAGCCTCAAATAAACCTCCTGTCCTTTCTTCAGAATGTTCCTCTGGAAAAGTGCAATTACCCTGCAAGTTCGTGTCATTCTGGATGGTGGTCAACCTACAGTCACCGCAGATAGGAGCTGATTGAAATTGAATCACATGCCAGAGTGCGCTTGCATTTAAGACATATTGACTAGGTTGTTTCCTCAAAGGAAAGCAGAAAGTGCATACAGCATTCAATGTCTACAAGATTAGAAATAAACCCGTTTCTACTTTACTTGCATGTGTTATTACATTATACAATTACAACAAGCTGCCCGGTGAGTCTTTGTGTTCAACTTTTCTTGGCACTACGTGGTTCAAACTAAATGCCTCTGAAATAACACTCTCCCACTGATTACAGTTGAACTGATTATGATTGGTTTATCCTGTTATACTACCTTGATTAAAGCTCCTCTTTGTCGCCATCTCTGTTCGAAATCTACAATTGCAGTCATTCATGGAATTATCAACTTTACGCGACACGGCACAGCGGGGATGAACACAATGTTTGAGGAGCGTGTTCAGCTGTCAGTCACCGCCGCTGTGGATAATGGCGTTCAGAATCACAGATTATTCTTTTCGGAAGTATGACCAACAAAATAACATCCACCTTTGTTCTGGTTCTGACATTGCTGTTAATCGGGCTGATTTAATCTAAAAATCGCTTATAAGTTATCATATCACGCAAAACCGTGCAAATTATACTTTGTTCTCAAATTGTTAATGTTAACAACGTCAGCATTGCATGACTACATGTAATGTGCTTGCGATATGTATCCTTGTTTTTGCACGGGTCTGGTTGCAGTCTCTTATTTTCTGTAGCCACTCCGAAGTCCGAACAAAGTCTTTTGCATTTTACAGCGGGTGAATCTGTTGTCACTGCTGATTGTCGTTTTAACCTCTCTGGATCCGCCATCAAATTGGTAAGTTTAATTTTATCAATTGCAGTGAGAAAAGGATATAAATCTCCACCTCCAGGATCCTCACACACAATATAGCTTATACTAGCCAAGACGCCTTCTTTATGTGCACAGATGTGACGTAATGATGTAAAGACATTGTTGAATCTCAAGATGGTCCTCACCGCAGAACATGAAATCCACGGGTAGGAGTCCTCCCACCTGACTGTACCTAAACCTACCCAGCTCCACCCCCTGATCCCTAAACCCACCCCTAAACTTACCCAGCTCCACCCCCTGATTGTTAAACCCACCCCTAAACCTAACCAACTCCACCCCTCAGGTCCAGATCCAACTCCTCCCACCTTAGTATACCTAAACATTCCCAGCTCCACCCCCTGATCCCTAAACCCACCCCTAAACTTACCCAGCTCCACCCCCTGATTCCTAAACCCACCCCTAAACCTAACCAACTCCACCCCTCAGGTCCAGATCCAACTCCTCCCACCTTACTATACCTAAACATTCCCAGCTCCAGCCCCTGATCCCTAAACCCACCCCTAAACTTACCCCGCTCCGCCCCTGATCCCTAAACCCACCCCTGAACCTACCCAGCTCCACCCCCTGATCCTTAAACCCACCCCTAAACCTAACCAACTCCACCCCTCAGGTCCAGATCCAACTCCTCCCACCTTACTATTCCTAAACATTCCCAGCTCCACCCCCTGATCCCTAAACCCACCCCTAAACTTACCCCGCTCCGTCCCCTGATCCCTAAACCCACCCCTGAACCTACCCAGCTCCACCCCCTGATCCCTAAACCCAGCCCTAAACCTACCCAGCTCCACCCCTCAGATTTGGATCCGACTCCGCCCCCTGGATCTCGTGTACTGCAATGAGTACCACTGAAATTAAAAACATTATTACAAGCTTACCATTTTGAATCGAGCTACGGCAAGCAGAGAGTTTTGAACACTGGCTGGTTATGTATTTTCTCAAATATGAATTTTGGATCATTTTTAACCCTAAAAAAGGACTGCAGCTTTAATGATTACAAAATATAAAAAGTCCCCTCGTGGTTTTGTGGAGCACTCTCCAGATTTATACTGCCAATTACAGAAAATGAAAAGAGAGCTCTTATGAGTGGGAGTTACACAAAATAATTACTAGTTCCATAAAAAATTATTATAATGAATGCCCCCGTGGAGCACCATGTGTTTACCCTTCCAGCCGTCACATTTAAACTACTGTTGAAGTGCCTTTTTGATTTCATGTCATATAGGATTTTTAGATTGTTCTGACCTCCAGCCAGGCGAATGGCCAAGCTGACAGTATCATTTAAAGGAATTGTCTCCCAAGTAAAATAAAAAGTGTAAGCAGCACCATTACAGTAATGCCCAAGAGCATGAGACAAATGAATAAGCATAGCTGATGTCTCTGTTCAGAAGTCGTGTTTCAGTATTTGTTTTCATTTTAATACTGGATTTGATTTCTAGAGTTATAAGGGTTTTTTTCTGTCAGAGAGCATGAAAATCTTTAAAATACTAATAACCATGCAATAAAGCAAGACAAAAAAATGAATTTTCCTAAATACAAAAAAATGAGTTGTCAGTGGGAGCCCAGGAATTCAACAAGAAAGGGGATTTAGGACATCATGACATAAGTAACTGAAATCCAGACTCATACTTAAATAGAACAAAAGTGGATTGTGGCTCAGCATAAGTTGATGAGTATGAAGATAGGGATGATGAGAGAAAAATAATGTGTCTTAAAAATTTTGAATTATTTACCATGGTTAGTCTGAATACTCCATTCTGATTGGCTGGAAGGTGTGCAGTAAAACGGTTTAATGCACAGGTATAGTTCCAAGTCAGTTGAATCACCTTTCTATATTAATACACTGTTTTTATTGAAGCGCGCGCCACACACACACACACACACTTGGAGATCGTGCTGAGAAACATCCAGGAGAGCATGAAACTTATCAATGCTGCAACTAATATTAAATAGCATTCTATAATACTTTTCTACTTTTTCAACTTTACTTAATGTGTAATGTTGCTGTTTGAGCATAATAAAGATTACAGGGTTATAAAGCTGAAAGCATAAATTTTATTTCACAGAATCCCCTTTTTTTAAGAACTACAATGAACAGCTTGTTTGGACTAGAACATTGTTTTTCCAGATCTTAAGTCATAATGTTACTCATTTAAATAATCTCCACCCACACTCTTAGAAGAAAAGGCTCCATATAGAACCTTAAAGGGTTCTATCAGCGCTACGTATTTGGAACTCCTAAAAGGTTCTATACACTCTTAAAAAAGGGTTCCTCTGGGTTCTATATAGAACCCTGGGGTTCCATATTTGGCCAATAGAACCTTTTACCAAAAAAAAAAAATGGTTCTAACCATTTTGGAGTTCCATACTGGTTCTAAATAGAACCATTTCTTCTAAAAGTGCATGGAACACGCAAGAAAGGGGGGGCACATTTAATAAATTGCTCACAAACTCACGAACCAGTGAATCTACTGTGTAAAAAGCGAGATTTGTATATTGCACCCGCTTTTGAGAACAAGCCACAACAACAACCAATTAATGAAGTGTGTAATATTTAGACTACTGACTCATGTAATGCTACCCTGTGTATTTATTAGTTTAATAAACTTGAATATCCAGTCTCTGTAAAAACCTATACGACGGACTGATGCCATGGCTTTCTTTTTCAGTTCACTGCATTTGACTTATGAAGAGTAGCCTACTTGAAAAAAAAATATATATATATGGAAAGATGATGAACATTGTAAATGAGAACATTTTCAAGCTGATGACACGTTGTTGTGTTCATTATATTGTGAATATTTCCAAGTGATGTAATGACATGATTTGTGTGGGAACGGAAGTGAAACAGTAAACAAGATGGATGCAGTTTGCTACTTCATCTTTCCTCAAACTGAGCCTCCAGTCTCAAGGAAATATGACGGTCTAGACTTGAAATGGCCTGTCAGGAACTGTTTTATCAGCAATGGTCAGTGTAAAATTAATTAAAATATTCCCCCTTAAAAGGAAGTGGACAAGGGTTTTGCAGACATTTGTGGCATTTCTTTTTAATCCTGTTAAATTGTACTTTATTGAGCCGCAAGGGAAAAATTGGGGATTTTTCTTTTCCACCAAATAATGCTGCTTTCTTGGAAACTAAAATAATAGGATTACACATTCAGTACAAGAATTGAATGACAGCTAACCATTGATTTTTAAATCATATTTTATTAATAAATCAATGCCTGCTTCTTATGCATGTAAACTATGAAACATGAGAAAAGTTCCCAACAGGTTTTAAATAATATATTTAAATAACACATTTTATCATTAATTATCATTATTATTACTCTTATTATTGTTAGTCTCTTATTGATCAATCATTTATTTTAAATATTTTGTAACATGCCTTTACCGATTTATTTCTTGCTTCTTGAGTCCTTGCTGAACAAAATAATTAAAATCATACTGACCACAAACTTTTGAACAATATATATTAAAATACATCACATAATCAATTACAACAAGGATCATTTTGTGTCTGGCTTTGGAACCAATGGCACGTTGAAGTTATTTCATTGGCAAACAGCCGTCATGGAAAAGAGAAGTTGTATTTTTAGTATATGAGCCATTCACACATGGATTAGTGACTTACTGAGTGTCCAACAGCAAAGAAAATGATTGTTTTTCTATTAATCTCAACAAGTATACATGTAGCAAGTAAGTACAAACAATACTTCTATCAGTTGTGCTATAATGTACAATACTATATTTCATTCCTGTGCAGTGCAAAAATAGTATCATGTCTTATCTTGTTTTATCTCTCTTTTACAATTTTGTTTCTTAATTATAACTAAGTTTATGCTTAAAAGAAGTAAAAATGCCAAAGGGATAAATGGGTCATAATTTACAAGGTTCTTTAAATGTTTCTTGATTTTAAGAATTTCAGGTATTTGACTACAAAAACAAGACAATGTTATTTTGGTAACGCTTCCTTTTACAGTCCAGTTACATGTAAATACTATGTACTTATTTTAGTAACTACAATTACTGGGTAATAACTAGTACTAACCCTGAACCTACCCCTAAACCTATGTACTTGCCTTATATTAGCCAGTACTTTCTAGGTAAGTACAAAGTAAGTACTGTACTGTAAAAGGAAGCGTTACCGTTATTTTTTGTGGTCAGTGAATAATATTCTGTGTATAATGTTCTATGAATTATTGTGCTTATTTTTACAAAGTTGATTCATTTCAAGTTCATTTGATTAGTTTGATGTGTTGCCCACATTAAAAGCTATGCCTTTATCAGGGGGAAAAATGTGTGAAATGCACGAGAAATCTAATACTTTGTTACCTTAACTAACAGTTTTTGTGTTGTAGTCTGCAGCGAATCATCAAAACTGGTGTTTGGACAGGTTGGGGAGACAGTCACTCTTCCATGTAAATACGACATTAACGCCAATGGCCTATTGCACATATGTTGGGGGCGACATCAGTCATGGTTCCACTGTGAGAACACGGTTATCTCCTCCGATGGCCTGAAAGTGAACTACAGAGAGTCACATAGATTCAGCTTGGTCAGTGGACTCGACAGAGGAGATGTTTCCCTTACTATAAGGGTTGCTCGAAATACGGATGCTGGGTTGTACGTGTGCCGTATCGAGATCCCTGGACCTTTCAATGACATTAGTCACAGTGTATATCTGTTTATCAGCAATGGTAAGTAACCACTCAATTTAATCTTTTTGCATCAATGTTGTTATGCTCAGACATGATAATGTCTTCCATTAAAGGACTGGATCCAAAGAGAGTCATCTCAGAAACACATCTGGTCCTTACAACGGCCAAGCAAGGTATGAAATCTTTCAGTAATAAGTGTGGGTAAAACAATGGTAATGCAACTTGAAGTTTAACCATGCAAATTACAGAACTGCTTCTTTTGTTGCTGATGTCAGAGGTCGTACATCCAATGACATGGTACACTGTAAAAAAAAATATTTTCATGATTTGTATTCACAACATTTTTTCTTTTTGTCAAATCAACTCAAATAATTTATGTAGTTCAGATAACATAATATTTTGAGTTTCTGATGGTTAAATCAATCTCATTCATTGTATTAAAAAAAAGATAACTGCAGGTATGAATATAATCATGACCTGCACACTTAATCAACATTCAAAAGAGATTCAGAAATATGAGCCAATATCTGTCAAGAATAAATGTAAACATATTTATTTATTTCAGATATTACTGGCATCTACATAGCTGAACCCGTTGCATTGGTCCGTACTGAGGTATTGCAATCATCTGTTTACAGAGACAGAAACATTAGCTGTTCTGCTTTTGCTGTCAGTCAATATTTTGGCTTCAATGTGTATGTAAATGTATTATGCATCTTGATTTTATTTGTTTTGGACAGGATTAACTGTTTCACTCATTACAGACTTGGTGTGTCATTTTAGGAAGCAATGGATGCATTTGTCATAAACACTGTAAAAGTGGGAGCCATCGTCTTCATCCCGGGTTTAATCATCGCATTTCTGTTCAGTAAGTAGATTAGCAAGTAATTCATCTAATGGTGTAGATCTGGAGAAATATCAAACACTTGTAGCATAAATGGGTGAAACCTCTAATGAACATGTCAAGATCGCATTTCATTCCAAATTCATGCGAAAAAAAGAAGGTAAGAAATTATATTTTGCATTAAGTAAATGAAGTTTGTTTTCCAATGTCACATATTTTAGCTTGGAATTCTTATTATAATGCGTCATTACATTACACAAACATTAACCCCCGGTTTCACAGACAATATAGTCCCACACTAAAATGCATGTTTAAAATGTTTTAACTGAAAGGAACTTAAACTAACATATCTTAAAATATGATTATTGTTTTGTCTCCAGTAATGCTTTTTTTTTCTAAAGCATGTTAATAAAAGCTAATTAAATGTCCTAATTGAACTAAGGTCTAAGCTTGGCTTAATGTAAGCCCTGTGTGTGAAACCAGGCCTTACTTTTTATTAAGGTTTTTGATTGGTCTCACTGGTGATTCTCAATGTAATTAAAACACTACTGTAATACATTATCTTTTAATTCCACAAACTTAAACTAGAGAGCAAATCCTAGCAACAGTATTGAACTTTTTTATTTAAATAATTCATTAATTTTCTTGCAATATATTTTGTTTAAGCCTCAGGAAAGATATCATTAAATGAAGCCATGTGACTCCAGTGGTTTAAAGGAGTTGTTCATTTTCTAAAAAACTTGCTGATAATTATACTCACCCCCATGCCATTCAAGATGTCCATGTCATTCTTTCTTCCGTCGAAAAGAAATTAAGGTTTTTGATGAAAACATTCCTGGATTTTTCTCCATATAATGGACTTCAGTGGGAACCAAACGGTTCAAGGTCCAAAAGACAGTTTCAGTGCAAACTGCAAACTGTTCAAAGGGCGTTAATGACGATGAATAAGGGTCTTATCAAGCGAAACGATCGCTCATTTAAAAAAAAAAAAAACAACAAAAAAAAAAGTTTAAGTTTTATAAGCTCAAATTGTGACTCTCCTGTTCGAACTGTTTACCAAAATGAACGAATCTTTTTTCGTGTCATTTGGTTCATTCAAACGAATTGACTCAGGAAAAGATTCGTTCATTTTGATGAACGAGTTCGAACAGGAGAGTCACAAACGCGCATCACAGAACAGAGCAAGGTGACCATTTGAGCTTATAAAACGTAAACTTTTTCAGCTTTTTTTTTTAAATGAGCGATCGTTTCGCTAGATAAGACCCTTATTCATTGTCTGGAATCGTTTAAAGCCCTTTGAACAGTTTGCACTGAAACGGTCTTTTGGACCTTGAACCGTTTGGTTCCCATTGAAGTCCATTATATGGAGAAAAATCCTGGAATGTTTTCATCAAAAACCTTAATTTCTTTTCAACTGAAGAAAGAAAGACATGGACATCTTGAATGACATGGGGGTGAGTAAATTATCGGCAAAAGTTTTTTATAAAAGTGAACTACTCCTTTAATCTCAATTTTATGAAGAGACGGATATGAAAATGAGCGTTTGTTGTATGACCATGGGCCATGACCTACCAGAGCGAGTGCTTTGCATAAAAAAAAGAAACAATTTACCACTTAATTTTCAAAATATCAATCTCCAACACGTGTTCATGAAAGCACCATCACGACCATGTTGTGTTGACACGGGAGCATGCAGCGTGAACTCACATTGGAAATTAAAATTTGTACTTTTTAAAATTTTACATATCTTGTTGTCCCATTCACCCAAATAAGCCTTTACCCAATATTATACAGTCTGAAAAGTGTACGCATTTTATTTAATGCATGAACAAGAAGATGCATGAGCTCGTTCCATATGGCTGTGTGGAAACTTTGATGACTTCTCGTGCTGCAGAGCATTAAGTTTGGCTCTCAGAATGTGTCTTCATTGCTGAGTGGAAGTGAAAGAGATGACTCATGGCCTGTTTTGCTTACTGTGCATTAACACATCCATTTCAACGCTCTGCCCTCAGGACTGCGGCGCTTCAGAAAGCACACCAGCAACAGGGGAAGTTGGCAGATCTCCCAAGCCCAACAATAACCACACACGGATATGATAGTCATTTTTGAGGTCATACACCACATGTATATAGTGATGTGGAGTTTTTTCTTTTTCCTGTTTTGGGGGTTTGTTCTAAGTGGCTAATATGTATGGCCTACTATAAAAGAATTGATTGATTATTAAACTAAGTCTGAGATTACTTGTTTACAATATGTTGTCTTTTTACTTTTTCATTGTGGCCTGTGTCTTCATTTGCCAAGTATTTTTATAAAAAGCTTACAAAATATAGGCCTAACTCTAATCATGTCATGCATCTCCTTCTCAGAAATCAATTAATGAATGTTTCTTTGTCCAAACTCCACGTTGAGCATTTCTTTGGAAACTGATTTACCACACAACGCCATGATACAGTAGCGCCCTCTAGTGTTCAACGCAGTGGCATCAAAACATATCAAACGAAAAGTTCCAATGATGTACAAACACTTAAATATTAATAAAATAAAAAAAATGTAAAAACCTACATGTGATGTTTTGGAGAAGTGCGTGTTTTGTGATTTTGCAGTACATGTAGATGATAGTATATGTTCTCAGTTCAAATCTCTCTTTTGGTTATTTGAAGTTGACCACAGAGTTGTAGGCCACATATGGAAGTGAAACTTTAAAAAGTCTGCTTGCACATTGAAGAAAAGCTGAGAATGTGTCATGTGCATGTTGACTTCCGTGTAAAGGGAAACAATATAAGAAGAGAGATAAGGTAGTCTGGAGCATTGCTTTTAGGGAAGGTGAAAGCTTTACATCATGAGTGATCTTCACAGCTGGTTCTTTACATCCTGGATTATTTGTTATCTGACGAGTGAGTTTCACATTTATATTGAGATGTGCTTGCAAAGAGTAGAATGTGATATATACATATTTGAATACATTTTTATTTGATATTTTAAAATATCATGTTTTATGTAGTAGGCTATTTAATTCCACAGTAACCCTTAAGATTATTTTATTTGATCAAGCCAAATTATCTACAATGATTTGGATCATTTTATGATCTAAATTTCGAATTCAAGATTATTTAAATAATGTAACTGTCTCTCTATCAGTTTGTAAATGCAGCGACGTCATCGTACAGAGTTTCGAGGGTGAGAGGGTCACTTTGCCATGCAAATATAACAGCAAATACCATGGAAAATGTGAAATATGCTGGATAAGAGGAGACATTCCAAACATGGGTTGTGGTGATGAAATTATCGGAAGCAATGGGGATAAAGTGGTGAGGAGAAAATCAAACAGATACCAGCTGGATGGAGAAATACCACATGGAGACGTGTCTCTGACAATCCTCGACATTAAAAAAAAAGACTCTGGCAAATATGGATGCCGCATACATGTTCCTGGATGGTTTAATGACGAGATGTATTACGTTCATTTGAATGTTGTTGACGGTAAGCAAAGCCGTAATGCCTACACTTATACTCACTACAAATGTTGTTGTTGTTTTTTGTTTTGGTTTGGGGTCAGTAAGATTTTTTGGTAAATAAAAGTAAAAAAGTAAAATACTTTGTGTAAAGACATTTAATTGTTACAAAAAATAAATGCTGTCAAAAAAATTGCAAGCACAGATGATTTCGGAAGGATCACACTGTAAAAATAAATGTTTTTACATTGCTTTAACTCATCAAAATAAGTTTTTGATGACAACTTTTTGATTCAACTCATTTTTAAAGTTAGGTTAATGTAATTTAAGTGGAAATGACTTAAACATCCAAGTTAATTGCATTAAAAATGTAAGCTGAACACTACGGTATTGATAATCCAGCTTTGCAGGGATATAGTTCATTTTAAATATATTAAAATAAAAAAGTAAAATAAAGCCATTTTAAATTGTAATAATATTTTACAATATTACTGGTTTTACTGTATGAATCTGATAAATGTCTCGTTGAGCACTATAAAAAATATTGTTGGTTTAACTTAAAAAATTAAGTTCATTGAAATGGAAAAATTGAGTTAATACAATGGAGATTGATTTAATCATCAGAAACTCAAAATATTATGTTATCTGAACCACATAAATTAAGTTGATTTGACAAAAGAAAAAATTTTGTGATTACAAATCATGATAATATTTTTTTACAGTGTAAGAGACTTCAAAGAAAATCTTACACACTCCAAACTTTTGAATGGTAATGCAGAATAAATTAAGATTTTTTTTGTTTAAGTATTACAGTTTTGCATTGAAATAAACTTTCTTCAAAGCGCTTATTCCAACAACATTGGAAACTACATCCCCACCGAGCGGCATATCTGAGCATGAAATCACAGGAGTATTCACCACTGTCATGACAGAGGGTACTTGTGTGTGTTTCTATGTGAATATCTATGCATTTATACAATCTTCGTGAATCTGTGATGGCTGAATCATGAAAACACACCAGACAAAACCAAACAAGTATTGATAATCAAGTCTAAAAAAGGAAGTATTTTTGGTTATGGTGACAAGTTTGACATTATTTGCCATCATTCAGTCATCACAGATGAGATCAGTTCTGTAAAGTCAGTGCTTTCAGCAGTTTTTTGATAGCTCGTGCTCATGTGAGAGTTTGAACATTAAAAAAAGGAAAATTCTACATCCTGTTTCAAAGCACCTGCTCCAACCACACAAGAGCCTTTGGTAACCCATAGTTCTGGGCTTATAACCCCTGAATCACAGACCACTGAAACATCAGGAGGTATTATGATTTTAACCCTGGCAGTGAATCTATAATGACTGAAGCAACAAGAAAAAACACGTTTCATTATCTATAATATATCATTGCTAATAATGACCAAGTGCATGGTGTGATTTTGGCACAAGCATATTTTACAAATATTTAGTCATTAAAGATCTCTGCTTTATTTAAAGACATTTCAATTGCTAGTGTAGAAACATTATGTGACACTATCCTTTTTTATTAGAAAAGAATAAAACACACGAGACTTCTTCATTCGTCAGTTCTTCAAATGCTCCTGAGACGAGCACTACTGGACTGTGGATCTCCAGCACAACTTACGGTACTCTTTGTAAATGTTTTGTATTGCAACATATTGTATGTGTAAATATGCTGATTGTGTTTTTCATTATAAAGCAGAAACCTCAGTTAAGTATCGTAATTCATCCTCTGTGGAACAAAAAGAGAGTGTGAGTATTTCACCATACCATTATTTTCACCTTACATGTTTTAAAACAATGACTTGATATCCTGATACTGACTTGTTCTTTTAAAGGTAAATGCATCTGCAGTTATTGTGCCTGTCCTCCTGTTACTGTTGGCTTTGATAGTCATTGCTGGCATTCTGTTATGTGAGTCCAAACTGGCACTTCACACTTTAAAGAAATTTAAAGTTAAAAATTTAACTGCAAAACTCATTGCGTTTATTTATAAAATGAAACTGTCGTTTTCTATTTTCAGGGAAGCAAAAGAAGAAAACCAGAGCTGCGTTAGACATGCAAGTCAATCCTTCAAGTGCTATTTATGCTTAATTTAGAATGATTAAATACATTAATTTCAAAATTATATTGATTAAAAACAGATAGACTGAAATAGGAAGTCCCAGTTTGCATTATGTGGGGTCAGTAGGATTTTTTTTTTTATACTTTTATTCAGGACCCATGAAACCAATTAAAAGTGGCAGTAGACCCGTTTACATTGTTAATCAAAACATTTCATATAATGTCAAATAAAATGTTGTATAAATGCTGTTCTTTTAAACTTATTCATAAAAGAATCCTGGGAGAAGTATAATGGCTTCCCCAAAAATATTAAGCAGCACAACTGTTTTCAATATTGATAATAATAAGAAATGTTTCTTTAGACCCAGCATATTAGAATGATTTCTGAAGGATCATGTGACACTTAAATGCAATTTTAAACTTAAATTGCATTTTAAAATATATTTAAACATAAAAACAGTTATTTTAATTTGTAATAATATTTCACAATATTGCTGTTTTTGATCAATTAAATGAAGCCTGAAGATGATGGTGATTCAACTTCTTTCAAAAACAATGTACCAACTCCAGACTTTTGTATCGTTTAATTATTTAAGCAATACTCTTGTGCATATTATATATATACTAAATTATATGAACAGTTCAGATGCAAAAGCCTCTAAGTGCCATTTGAAATTTTCTTCTAGAATGATCATTTTTAACAAGCTTGTATATTTAAGTTCAGTGATTTCACTTAAATGGCAATGATAATTACCTATTATTTGTTATTTAAGTGAAATTACTGAACTTAAATATACAAGTTTGATAAAAATCATCATTAAAGAAGAAAATTTCAAATGGCACTTAGAGGCTTTTGCATCTGAACTCTTCATATGAAGAATGCAACACATCCCACAGTCAGCATCAAAGAAAGAACATCCCTCCATTAGGTCACATTTTATGTTTGTATTGAGGCCAGATCATATCATGGGCATCGCTTATCGCTTGTTTCTTATCATCTTTCTCTCTCTCAGAACCCAGAACTCCGAGAACTCTGTCATCTACAGTAACTCTGGCAGCACTGTGGGCCTGTACAACAGAGAGATGGCTACGGAAAACATCTATCAAATACAGAGTGAAAATGAATATGAACAGTGGCATTAATATCTCAGCAAATTCACATCTACTATTAACGTTTAAGTTGATCAGTGTGGAGTCTTTTTTCTGTTGTATTGTTTGTAATAATGTGACAGCTATTGCTGATCAGAGAAATCATTTCTCTGGACTATCCTTTCTCTGACTTCTAGAGGCTATACTATCATTATTAAAACTAATCTGATATCAAATTTTAAATTAATAATTTACCACAAATGTGTTTTGGTGTTGTATTTTTTTCATATTACCAGGTTACCTACACGAGTTTATGCCAATGCCAGTTGAGAAAGATCATAAAACTTAATTTAATAGAAACTATATTGTTAAGAAGGTCATAAAAAATGTTCTGTTATCTGTAATAGCCTACACATTACTCCTCCAAACTCATATAGGCCACACCTATAGGGAACTCCGTCCATTACAACTAAAAACAAACTCTAAAAAACAAACAAACAAACTCTTCTGATTAACAAATGCTGCATTTTTTTTTTTTTTTTTTTGAAAGTTATGAATGTTGTAGGCTACAGGTAGCAATAGCAATTACAGTGCGTGACACGAGGAAGATTGTTGTAACATCATTTTGGAATAAGTGGACTATAGCTGTGTCCTTGCTTATTTTTGTATCATTTTATAATAATAATACATAAATGAAAACATCTCGGTGACGAATTTAACCCTGGTTCCATGAAAAGAGAACGAGACGCTGTAGCCATTTTGAGAAGCACTTGAGAACCTGTGTGGTAGATTCAATCTCCAGGCTTTTGAACCGTATTAACCCAATGAAGGTGTGGAGGGCCAGCCTGCCACATCACACACATCTTGAAAAGAAACCCCTGACAACAATGCCTTAAAAAAAAGAAAGAAAAGAAAATTCTGTCAGTACTCA